CACGGCCAAGCAAGTGAGCTCCTGTTTGGAATTCAAGTGTCACTCAGCCCGGCGGCAATCCTTGGAATTTTGCGCATTCCCTTTCCATAAATCTCAACTTGGACTTTTCAAGTGACGACCACACAATTGAGTCTCCACGCCACGGAAACAATTTGTCAACGCATGCGCGGTGCCGTGTCGAGGGAATGCCAGCGGAGTCAGTAGCCGGAGGGGGCGGAGCTTGTGCAGGTGTCTGTGTGTGTCTGTGTGTGTTTGTGCGTGGGCACAGGTGGATGTTAGCTGGCAGAGGTCAGAGGTCAAGACAAGCGAAATGGGAATTCACTGGGTTGTTTTAGTGCCCTCCAACACTCAACACCAACTCTCACACACAGACTTGGAGTCTGTGTGTGTGTGTGTGTGTGTGTGTGTGTGTGTGTGTGTGTGTGTGTGACTTTTGTCCATGGCTGTGCGGCTTGTGTCCGCCATTCCCGATTGAGCGCCCGATTTCGGGGTTGCGCCATTTCGAAAGGGTGTCCCAAAGTCCAGGCAGAATAAATCCACGCGGGGAGCTCAAAATGACCCATAATGCACTTGGGAAAGTGCGCCGCCAGCCGGAAAACAACATGGCGCAAGCGCCGATCTTGAAGCCATCCGGTCACCACGGAACTAATTCATTGATTGATTGAATTGAAAGTATCGACAACAAAGGAAATGAAATGCAGTTGAAAGGAGATCTTAACGCGGCGCCGCATCCTGACCGGTGCGGTGGTCGAGGCGCCACGAGTTGCGAACGAGGCTTGTCACCTCGGTGGGGGCCTGGCCGAGAACAGCGGACAGGTGGGCCTTGATTTGTGCGCGCGGGCGTGCGCTTCTCCAGGCGTCTTTCCGCGCTTGGCTTCTGGAACATTGCGTCCACCGTGTGAAATTTCTCGATCTGCGTGTTGGTGGCGCTGGGGACGCATAGCGGCGGGCGACTGTAGATGTGGAGCCAGCCTCGGACTTCTTTGCAAGAGTTGACACGCGGACTGTCGGTCCTCGGGGTGACCTGCCCGTTCCGACCGCACCCGCCATTTTGACGGGCCGACTCGTGTCGGGGTGCCGATTTTCAAGCAGTTGAGTCTTGAGCGGGTTTTTATCTTGCGGTGGATGCAAACATGAGGGCGGCGGAGATGTCGCATCAAGCTGCAACAGGGCCCCGTTGCAGCTTGTGTGTGTCGGCAGTGGGGGGAGTCGGGGGCGGGGGGCTTGGCTAGTGGACAGCGCCGATGGATGGCGAAGCAGCAAGAAAAAGGCACAAACGCAAAAGACAAGTTGGCCAGGCTCCCCTGACTTGACTTGGAAAGGTGAGCAGGCGGCGGTGTCTTCCTTAGGCAGGCTGACATTCCTGCCCCCCCCCCCCCAGCCCCCTCCCCGCTCTGAGGGTTTCACGTGCATTTTGAAACCACACACACCCCAACGCTCTCCTTGTTTGTAGTCCATGTCGGTGCCGGTGAGAGCGTTGGTTCTTCTTTGGGAGGAAGCGAAAGGACGCTCTCCATTTTCACGCGAGTCCACTTGCGGACGCTGAAGCGGTCGCCGGGCGGCCAGGAAAGTCCGCGGGCACCTTGCGTCACGTTCCGCGCAAAGTCACGGGACACGACCCGGAATAAAAGTGGAACGAGCCGAGCTCCTGAAAGCTGACACCTTGCGCCCCCCCCCCACTCGGCGCGTCTGGCCAAGCGCTCAGCGGCTTAGGATGCCGAGGGCCCCCTCGGGAGTTGTAAAGCGGCTGACCTACTTCCGAGTCGACGTCGTCGTGAGGTGGCCCCCATCTCAACCCCGAGCCCAACGAGGGCGCCGCGCGGGAAGACAACTTGAAGCCAAAGCGACGAAGGCACCAAAGGGAGGGCCGCAGATGAAAAAGGGACTGAAGAGTGGGCCTCGTACGCCCCCTCCTTCCTCGTTGCCCTTTTTCGAGGCCGCCAACCGACCGGCGACGGTTGAGGCGGGCGGATGGGCGCCGAGCACATGGCAAATCCCGTCGACGCGTCGCACGGCCTCGGCCCAAGTCTGGAGCTCGTCCTCCCATCGCCCTCGGGGCCTCGACGTCAAAATAGGGACAGGTTGGGGCCATGCGCGGAAAAGCAAACATCAAAGGCTTCCGTGTTGTTCATAGTTTGGCATTTTGCGGTTGAAGCTTCATCGGTAACCCGAGTAACGCTTGCACCGCATTGGGCAAAAGGAGCAAGTCGGGGCTGTTGTTGAAAGATGCCATTCTCTCTTTGCGTCAGAGCTGCGGCCAAACGGCCCGCCCGGTCGCGTTCGCTTTTGAAAATGCCGTCGCCGTGACAACCAGCGTCGAGCCGAGAAGAACACGAAGGGAGAGAGAGAGAGAGAGAGAGAACAGGTTGTGGCGAGTTACACCAACGACACGCCGCCCGCTCGCAAACCGGCAAAACCTGAACGATGGCCCGATGATCCGTTGACGCGCAAACCAGTCCTTCCTTCCTTCCCGCTTCAGCCCTTCGGCCGGTCATCATCGGCATGGTTTTGGGGGAGCTTATTGACCCCCCCCCACCCCCCCCAAAAAGCATGGCCCCCGGGCCACAAGCTGTCCTCCGCGTTCTTTGATGCAGCCACCGAGAGATGGCTGCAATGGTTTGGCCAATCGTTTGTTTTGTTGCCTTTCGACCGGCAGGCGGGCGGGCGTTTTCCAGCATTTTGAACCTGCCGTTCCATCTCCATCTGAGCAGCGACGCTCGCCAAACCAAAAACAAGTTTGTCTCCGTTTGTGTTTGCGCCCTTGGCCCTGGAGCGCTCGAGCGCGCCTCGGGTTCACCAAACGCAATTTGGGGGCTCTCGGGAGACACGTGACCAAATGAAAACCTGTCCCAATGCAAAGTCCGCTCGGCAAGCCGAAGCCGAAGACGAGGCGGGCAGAATTCTCAACGTTTGAGAAAATCTGGTCGGAAAAGGCCTCCCAATCACAGTGGAACGCGATCGCCGGGCCATCGGCTCTTCTCCGTTCTCTCGTTTCGTGATCCTCCTCCACCGATTGGCTGACACCTTTCACTTGGAAAGATCTACCGCTTTTGAAAAAAAAAAAACAAAAAAGACGATTCTTTTTCTCTCAGGCGGGACCCAATCGCGAGAGCGCAACGGGCGCAAAATACGCCTCAGGACGTAACCCGGGAGCGCGGCATTTTGCTGCCGCGCTCCACGTTTGTTCCTGTTTCAAAAGACGCGGCCTCATTGGAAAAAGTAATCCCACTCGAAAGATGATTCGCGATAAGTTGCTCGACATGAGTCGGCCCGGGTGCCGTTTGCCGTCGCGAGGAACTCGCAGCAGCAGCGGACCGTGCCGCGAATGCTCGCCAAGACGGCGGCGCCCTCGGTCGGCCGGGGGGCACGAGCCGCCGCGCCGCTGAATTTTCTGCCTTTTCTGCCTAACCCGTCAGGACTCGGAATCTTTGGACCGCCGCCTCCGGACATCTTCGCCGTCGCCGTTGTCGCCCTCCCGGGCCACCGTCCTTCGCCGGGTGTGCCGGAGAGCTGTTACCTTGGCAACCGCATCCCCAAACACTTCCACTTTGTGCCAAAGCTTTGGCTAGACGCCTGGGTGAGTTATGCGCTCGGTGTGTGTGTGTGTGTGCGCGTGTCTATATAGGGAGAGAGAGAGCGAGAGGTCTAGCGCCATCGAATAGAAACGGAGCGCTTTACAAAACGTTGAAAATGCATCCAAGAAATCCGAAGAAAGGCGCGGCTCGTTGTTTGTTTGCCGCACTGAAGGTTCGGCACGTCTCACGACGAGCCTTTTTTCGGATCCGATTTGTCCGAGGAGGCTTTTGATGCGAGTAACAAGAATATTTCCAAGATTGAAGTTTTGCCGTCGTGAAGTATCGTGCCCAAGAAATCGAGCCCGGCTCTCCTTCATCCGCCTGCCAAAGAGCCGCCGGCGCCGTTTGTCCTCATTTTTGCCTCCATGTTTGTCTTCTCGTCAGCGTGACCTTTGGCGTTGGCCGGGCGGGGCTGGCCTTTGCGCCCGCGCGAAAGGATCGGGGTGCAGCTCGGCCCTCCCAAACGCCATCGAGACTTCCGCTCGCCGCCTCGCGCTTCTCGGCTCCCCTCCCCCCGAGAGCGGGGCCCGCCGGCCGTCATGCCGAGCGACCGGAAGCGTCGGCGCTAGCCGTCTTCGACATGGCCAGGCTGGACTCCGTCAACGGCGCGCCCCGGGACGTCTTCGGGGTCCCCCGGGAGGACGCGGTCCACATGCGACCCGGGAGCTCCCCGCCGGACGCCCCGCGAGCGTCGGCCGATCCGGGAAGGGACGCGGGGGCCCGCGTCGACGAGGAGGAATCGGGGGCCCTCTGCCGGAGGGAGGAGTCAGAGGGCAACCGCACGCGTCCGACAGAGGTGGCGCTGCCCAGATTCTCCCCACAGAAAGGATCCTTGACCCCGTCCATCTGCGTGCGGAACCCAGCCGCGGGCGACCGCTCGGCTCGTCGCGCGCCGCCCACCGATCGGGTTCTCGCCGGCCAAGAAAAGGACAAACGGGAGAATCCGGCGCCGCGCGCTCCGACGGCGGCGGGTGCCGTCGCAAACGCGGCCGGGAGACGAAAGCGGAAGAAAGAGGCGAGTCGGCACGGATGGGGAGAAGAGGAGGAGCTTGACGATACGGCAAGTTCCGCGCCGCGCTCGGACAACGGCGAGATGGCGACGGGCGGAAAGCGGGAACGGGAGGAAGGACGTGACGGCGAGCCGCGGGGCGAGGACCGACGACGCGAGGAGCGACGGGACCGGCGACGACGGGCCCGGCGGCGACGTGGCGACAAACCGC